CGTTTCCTTCTACTTTGCCCCTTCCTCTGATAGCTAGAGGAACAGGGTTGTCTATACTTATATCCATAATGCGAAAGAGATTCTTAAGCGCATGCAACTGACTCTCGTGGTGTAGATGGATAGGACTAAAGCCATAAATCGCGCACACATTTTCCACGTCCTTTATTTTGTTAATAAAATTTGAGTCTACCGATGGGACGTAGTAAGTAGCGCCAATTTTCATATCGCAGTAAACTCGTAGGACATTCTGCGAACAGGTAGGTAGAACGTAGTAAAATCCTGAAGGTGAATTAGGTATAGTTTTCTTCAAATGAAAACAATCATCTGCTGCATTTTCAGGAGTCTGTCCCAATTCTTTCGTCGAAGTAGAATAATTCGAGCTGAAGGAATTTCTTCGGATAATTTTCTCTGATTCGTTCATAACATGGTATATATTTTTCAACACCACATTTTTTATGTTGGCTATATCGTTATGTAGTTTTTCCTTTTCATTTTTACATTTTTTTAGTTGAGGATTTAGCTTCTGAATTTTCAAAGCTTCGCTCTGTATCTTCTCTGCGTACTGCTGCAGTTCTCCATCTAATCGTTTCAGTTCTTTTCCTTCCTGCATGTTTACTTCCGAAACGAATTCGAAGAAGTACTTGTCCCTCGCGTCTTCAGAATCTTTGACCGTGTCACAGTCCTCTACCACTGATTTTACTCGGTTGGTATATATAGACAATTTTTTAATACCATAAAATAAATTCTGTTCTTGAGAAAACTCAGGATTAGGAGCCATCAATTTCAGCTTCACATATTGTCCTTCAAAACTGTGTAAGTTATTAATTGTGCTATTTAGAAAATTTGCCAAATTGCTGCTAACTTCTTTGAAATTCTGTCCATCGCTACTTATCATAATTGAGTACTTGGTAGCTGGAAATTTCCAGTCAATAATACATTTTTGCAGTTTGTACTTACTTCCTAGGTTAATATTGAAGTAAACCGAATCTGGAGCGGTGTCTATGTTAAATGATTGTGAGAGCCAAAATGTGTCCAAGTTTCCATCGACAGCTTTATCTGTAGAAAATTTCTTATCTTCTCTGGATAGGGTAGAATCCGTTTGTTTATTTAAGGCTACATCTGTGCTACCCGATTTTGATCCATCTTGAGATAAACAGAAATTTCCGTCTCTTAAAATTTTTATCTGATTATTTGGTAGTAACTGCCAACTACTACGCCCGTCGTTGTGTTCCAAACTGGCATTGCAATCTTCCATTGTTACTCTCCCTCCATTGGCCGTCATGTTGTCCTTCAAACTGATGCACAAATTAGTCACCGGGTTGTATATCTGATTCTGTGCGTTCAATTTCCAGAGGTCTCTTCCGTCTAGGTAAGACATGGCCGTGATGCACCCGTCCAGCACTACCTCGTTCGTCTCGTCTACTTGTAGACACAGATCTTGCGTCACGTTGCTCATTCCGCTTTGTATCCTGAGCGTTGGGTCCCTCGAGCCCAGCACGTTTACAAACTTGATGCCGAAATATCCGTGGATCGGGCGCCTCATGTTCAGCTTAATCGACTTCGCCATCACCACGTGGTTGAAGATGATGTTCTGCACTACGTTGCCTGCGGGGGGGCGGGGGTTCGGTATTATAAATTGGCTGCTACAAATTGGCTACTTCCGCTAGTGCGAGTAGTTTATCAGCAAGGGTAGCGCCAGCATCTTATAGTGCCTAATTTTGCTGCCACTTTGGAACATTATTGCTCGGAAACAACTTACCCGCGCGGGACTCGATCACCTGGTAGGGCACCACCTCTTCGTACGGCTCGCTCCCATCGTAGCTAGCTAAGACAGAGACTTCCCCAGGGGAATATGCCCAATGAATGATGATTCCGTTTAACGATCTGACATTTTTTAAATGCCCCGTCCACGAAATGACCTCACTGGAACTGTGTTTCCCTTCAGAACACCAATAACCTGAACCCCTGGTCAGCGCATTATCCGCGCCGTACTGCGGTAGCCCATTTTCCCCGATGCTCGCAAAGGTTGATGTGGACTCGCAATTCTCAAACTTGAAAAAGGTGTTGCTTATGTCATTTTCACCCTTCACCAAAAGGAAGGACAGAAGGGAAAGCAGCAGTGCGTGCAGAAAAAACACTTTTTTCATCATTGTATTGTCAGTAGCAAGCTCGGGGAAGAGTCAAAGGGGCGGGGAGCAACAGGGAAGCGGCAACGAAGTGGCAACGGAGCTGAAAAGGAGAGGAAACTACGCGGAAATTACGAAATAGGAAAGAAAGGGAACAAATAAAAAAAAGTTATATACACTTATAGACCCCCGTATACGAACAAAGAATTTGAACATGTCAATTTAGTAAAGGAAGAGGTAAAATATGTTTACTCATGTACAGAAAAAAATGTGAAACAAACAAGGGGAAAACTTAAAACATAGAAGGGGATACACCTTTGGTATCTTAAGTGAAACACTTGAATGTTACTCAATGTGTCTAGGGGGTGAAACAACTTATGTTGTAGGGCGTTAAAATGGAAAGCGCCTTGCGGAAGGGGAAGTAAAAAAAAAAGCAATCATGCAAACGGCAGACAAACTGCAGATAAGCGGCAGAAAAACGGCAGATAAGTGGCAGAAAAACGACAGATAAGCGGCAGAAATACGCAGACAAACAATAGACAGGAAAATAGAAGACATGTAAAAAGCAGACCGACAAACAACAGACAAACAAACAAATTTGTGAGCGTTGAAGTGTGAGTTACTTAACAAACTGCAAGAACAAAAGGCATGCGTACGAGCGCGTTCTTCTGTGTAGATATGTACACGATCAAGGATTCGTTGAGATAACAACAGTTCTTTGGTCGATTTGTAGAAGCTACATTTCTGTGTGCGTTTTAACGTGCACCATTCTTTTCCATTAAAACTTTGTTAACGTGTGTTTATATATATGTGTGTTTTTTTTTCCTTCCTTAATGGCGTGAGGTTTTTCCGTGTATGCACAATGTCCCTACAGGAAAGTACACCTTAACCTTGACCTTTAACTTTTTTTTTTTTTTTTTAATTTCGGAACATACACGTAACGGGAAGAAAAAAGGGAAAAAAATTTTATACATATGTATACACCTGGATACAAATATTCTGGTCCAAATTTGCAGCTGTGTGGTTTGTCTACACCGCGGGAGGCACTTCCAAATTGTGAATAAGACGATGCACCAAATTTACACTGACAAGATAAATACAAATTGGAGGCACGAATAGATAAAAAGAAAAAAGAATAAAAAAAAAATGACAGTGTACAGAACGGAAAAGCGGCGGAAGAAAAGAGCCGCAGTAGAAAGATACCTGATAATAACTCGAACACATTTTGAAGCACCCTTTTCCTCTGAAGTGAAAGAATTTTTTAACTTTTCCCGTCCTTTTTTGGATATCTTATTTTTACTGAGCAAAGGTGAAATGCCGGAGGTGTAACCCAGTCAGGTGTATTTTTTCTGTTAATACATGCGCGTTTGCTGCATTTATGACGCCGTACAGACAAGAAAATTGTTGCATACTGCTGACTTAAAAACCCATTTTCGAAAAAAGTAGGCGTTATTTTTAAACAAGAGATGGAAAAAAAAAAATTTCAAATGTAGAAAGGTCACCATGAGGGGTTATTAAATTTTTTTTTCTACATTTCATTCTGACAAGCTGCAGCATTTGGGGCTAAAAAATGTCGCGATTGCTAAATAGCGCTCAAGAGATGTTTGCCTTGAAATACATACACATACAATAAACGTACACATAGCTGCGCACATTGAAAGGAGCCATCTTTGCGGAATGAGAGTTCGACGACGTTTTTTAAATGATCGCTTGGACATGCTGGGGAGCTGAGAAAATGACATGCAGCGAACATGACACGTTGATAATATGCCATGTTTTAAAAATGACATCTGTTCAAATGACACATCCGCGCTGCCAACTTTTTTTTTTCCCCTCCCCCCACTATGCGCATATAGCATGACGTACGCGGTGATATAGCCAATTTTTTGCATGGTCCACTTTGATAATTTAAAAAAAAAAAAAATCATCATCATGAAATGTTTAAACAAAAATGTGGAATAAAACTTTTTCTTGTCACACTTTTAAATTTCCACATGTTTTTATTTAAAATGGAAGTGACCATTTTAAGCGAATAGATGATGTTTCGCATAAATTGCTGTGGCCCAATTTTCCCATTTTTTAAAAAAATAGGAATTCACTGTTTTTTTTTTTTCTTTCTTCCGTAAAATAAAGAGAAGAGGGGAGCGTCCAAATGTTGTGTGAAGAAAAAAAAAAAGAAAAAAAAACTATTTTGCAAGAACGCATAGTATACATAATAAGTGTATATTATTCAGTGAAAAATGTAAACAATGATATGCAAAATACATATGTGTAACATACATTTTTTGTTTTTGTAAAATTTGAGCGATAGTGTTTTGGATAACATAGTACGAAGAAGGAAAAAATAGAAAAAAAATACATGGGAAGGATAAAACTATAGGATGTATAACGTTTGATGAACCATGTCGATTTTTCTCTTTCAGAGTAGAGTGACACGTAACTTTTTTGGCGTTACTTTTTTCATGTAACTTCTTTCGCGCAACGTTTTGCGACTGAAGTTTTCGGCGTGACCTTTTTCACGTAACTTTTTACATGTGATTTTTTTTTCAACATTTATGGGTCAATCCTCACGGCATCGCACACGCAAGGCGCATTCATGTAGAGAGGTGTGCATGTGGATAAATGCATACATAGGACGCGCGTACACTGCGGTACAAGGTAGCATAAGCCACTACACGGCAGCATAAGCCAGTACGCGGCGGCCTAAGCCACTACATAGCACCATAAGCCACTACATAGCACCATAAGCCACTACATAGCACCATAAGCCACTACATAGCACCATAAGCCGCTACACAGCAGCATAGGCTAGTACACGCCAGTTAAGCCGTCCCTCCCCCTTGAGACACACATTCGCGGCGCAAATATGTAATAATGGCATCGTCCCAAATACGTCAGTTTGCCACTCTCATAGATCAGCTGCCATGTGAAGCTGACGATTACAGCCTCATGGAAAATTTCGAGGATTACAATAAATGTTTTGAAAGCTCTACGCATAGTAATAAGAGGAAAAAGACTGATTCCCTTTCCCCCTTTAACTCCAACTTAAGCGATTATATAAAAAATATATGGAATGGTCAGGTGAACCCTAACGGGAGCAACACAAATAATAGGATGAAAAACTCCATTTCGTCAAACGATGAAGATAGTTCGAATGTAGAAAATAAAACCAATACACAAAATAAGAACAGTGAAGAGGAAAGTCTGATCAGGTGCAAGGGGAACAATTTGAACAAAAGCGAGTCCAACTCATTCGGAAACAATGACCCCGTAGCATATTTAGATAAACAAAATATGCTTTACGAAAATGATGTAAACATAAATGCCATGAACAGCTACGATGACAAGAGCGCTCTATTTATCTATGATAATGATTTGACGAAAAATGAGCAGAGCCATTACATCGAGACTCTGAATAGCGAAATGGACAACAGGGACTGCAAGGACGAGGCAAGCAGGGGGGTACCGGTGTGCAACAAAAACATGATTGAAATTATTCACTGTAACAACAAATGCCTGACAGACGCGAAGTTCGCCAGCGACAGGAGCGGTACTAGCCACAATGGTAGCAGCGGAGGCAAAAGTAGCTGCAACGGAAGCAGTGGGAGCAAAAGTAGCGGAAGCGGAAATAAGAGCCAGGGAAACAGAAGCAGCGGTAACAGCAGCCGGGGAAATAATAGCCGTGGAAATAGTAGCCGTGGAAATAGCAGCCGTGGAAATAGCAGTCGTGGAAATAGCAGTCGTGGAAATAGCAGTCGTGGGAATAGCAGTCGTGGAAATAGCAGTCGTGGCAATACGGATCTTCGCAAAAAGAATGGAGACGTGTCGCTGTACAATTTTAGCGCCCCCTTTAACGATAAAGCGTGCCAAGAGAATCACGAAAACATCGTTTACAGGTACAGCCCCAACACGTTGCCCTCGAATAATGATAGTTATGGAATTAAAAAGAAGGCCGCCAACTTTAGAAAAGGTTCCCTTCCGAACAAGGATGAGGTGCACGATGCAGATCAGCCATTGCACCGCTGTGAAAACGTTGACCGTTCAGGTAAAAAAAAAAAAGGAAAAAGAAAAGAACGATCTAAAAGGGCTAATGTGAGCACTCCTGTGGGGAGGTTGTCCATGTTACTTGTGACCTCTTTTTTTACTTTCACCGTTTAAGTGCATCTGCACGAGTCCCGTTCGGAGCGCTGTTCAGTTTGGCGACGTGTATATGTTTGTATGTGTTTGTACGTGTGTGTATGTATGTGCGTACACTTATGTGCCCGTTACAGCACCTTATTGCTCCCATTTTGACAATAACTCGCGCAGAATTTTATGCCCATGGGCGTGATTAGTCTTCTGAGCTGCTCCCAACTGGCCCGTTTCTAGTAAGAAATGTTGCCAACCCTTTTCAACCCCCATTCCCCCTGCATACTTCCAATGATAGCAGGAGAGAGAAAAAAGGAAAGTCCTCACGATAGATCCCCGTTAGTCCAAGAAAAAGGAGAAACTCACGAAATAAACGATGAAGAGATGCAAGAACATACAAGTATTAACAACCCGCAGAGGGGTGATCAGAACAGTAGCAAACGGAAGGGGAATAAAGACGTGAATGTAAAAAACACCATTGGTGAAAACTCAACAGTAATTGAATATAAGGACTTCTGCGAAATGGTAAAAAAATGTGACGAAGTTAATAAAAATATTTTATTCTCCAAAAAGGCAAAGGTAATCAAATTGGACGCGAACAAATCATTGATTATTTTTCCTGTGAACATTCATGACTATGGAGACAAGTACATTGCAGTGAACCAGAAGGATCTCCTCGAGTACATATCATCATCAATCGAAATTGACAGCGAAGACTTATCCGCACTAAAGATAAAAAATTATCAAAAGGAAAAGGAGCTTCAAAATATGAAAGTAGCCTACAGTATGCAGACAACCAACATTCACTACCTTATCAACAGGGTTATATTCAAAGAATGTGAATATGAAAACTTAAAAAACAAAAGTTTGACACTGGAGCAGGAGATAAATAAACTAATCCAGGAAATTAACTCTTTAATCAATCAGAACAAGGAAGGATTGTATATGCAGAAGGCATTTATTGATTATAAGTGCAAATGTGTGTTGAAGTTACAAGAACTGCAACCCTTTCTAGGGGAATACTATTACGACATTTTTAATTACATCACGTCATGTAGAACGTTAGGACAATTAAGCATCTGGATTCCGGTTTTTGAAACGAAAACGGAATCTCTGGAAAGTATTGCAAATAATTTAATTAAAATTATGTTAAACGGATTAGGTGCTCCCTTCAATTCATCACCTCAATATTTCCTGTCAAATAAAAAATTATTGAAGAAGTCCATATCTATAGAATCCGAAGAAGATAGCTTTATTAACAATATAGCTAAAAGGAAAATCATCGATAATTATTTAGTGAACCATTTGAATAGCATCAACACGACAAAGGAGAATAACTCACACTTTTCAAACTGTCATTCATTACGTCTGAATAGTGAGGAATCATGGTCCTTCTTAGGGACAGAAGAATTGTTCCTCAATTCGTCCAAGTTTCCCTCCATACATTCAGTGGTACAAAAAAATGGAGTCGATAATAACAGCATTCGCAACAATAGTAGTAACAATAATAATGGATGCAGGAAAAGAAACAGAAGAGAAAATTTTCCCAACAGACTGAACAGATCCAACACGACACCAGAGCACTTGTGTGTTAATAACGAGTCCTACACCATTGGTGATGCTCGTAGTATCATAAATGGGCGTGACTCTCCCGCCAGTCATATGCAGCACAATGAACATAAAATAGACGCTGCTTTGACGCCAGATGAAAGGCATCCCCTTAAGCGCAAGCAGGTGGGGAGCAACTATGACGAAAAGGACATGAAGAAAATCAGATTTATTGGTAAACAATGCTGTAGAAATGACCTGGCTCCTGGCACACTCTATGGAGGCAAGGATGAACGTAACGAGGTGGGATTGTTCAGAAAGGGGGAAGAGTCCTCCCTGTTAGAGAAACCATTTGGGGAAAGCAAACCCAACAGGGGTTACAAAACTGAGACGAATGTATACACCGAAACGAGAGACAACCTGGCGCAGGAGACATACAGAAACGATTGGTGCCAAAAGATACATGAGCACGAATATGATTCGCAAAATGAAGGAAATGACGACGAAGATGTGGTTGATGCTTATAAGACTATGATCGAAAGTAAGTCGGCACTCACAAGTTGGCAGAGGAGTCAAAAAGGGGGAAGCGAAAATGAGGCGTTCGACGATCTAATTGAGGTGGTCCACGTAGACAAAATGGGGGACGAAACCATCCCCCCAAATGTGGACGAAGAAAGGGAGAGTGCAGCTAGCAGCGTCGTAGAGGTAGCATCCGACGAGACAGAAGTGCCCAACGAGCGAAGGGTCGGCGGGGCGGAGCCCCAAATGTGCATAAACATAGACACGGACATGGAGGCGGAAATGGAAGCACAGGTAGAAGTGGAGGTAGACGGGGAGATGGAAGCGGAGATAGAAACCGAGATGGGAGCCGAAATGGAAACCCAAACGAGAGCCGAAATGCAAGCCAAAATGCAAGCGGACCTCAAAGCCCGGGCGGATGCGTTCTTGAATCGCCAACCAATCCAACACAGTAGCGCTCAACCTGGCACCCACGTGAGACGAAAGAATGATGCAGAATTAGAGACACCCAACAAGAGCGAAGGAGAACACCAATTCGCGAACAAAAAGGATACTGCTGAAGAAAAGGGAAGAGAGGTTAAATGCGCATCGGATAATCAGAAAAGAGCAGGTAAAACTAACAAGCAAAAGCAATTCAACGAGCTGGATAATGCTGTCGAGGAGAGGGGCCAAGACACGAGAAAAAAATAAAGAGCAAAGGGAGAGGAGAGACGTGTCATAGTTAAGGGCAAACTATAGTAAGACAGCACCCACCGTTTGGGAAAGCGTAGGGAAGGTGCGTAGATAAGCAGCCAATGGTAAGGCCGTTTTAATCAGCGCAATTAACGAAGGGGCTAGGGGCGGAAAAAAAAAGGGCCTGCAAAATGGTAGTAATTGTAAAGTGTGTAACCCAAAACGAGACACATCGCAACGTGTACAGCATATGGCAGTGAATATTTGATTTTTTTTCGTGTAAGAAAAAAACTTGCCCTTATTATTATGAAACATGAAGGAAGAGAGAGCAGAATAACCGACGTACCATTCCCCAATGCGAAGTTGCCCCCAAAACGATGAGCTTTGTGAGGAGTTATCTTCCTGGAGTGCAGAATCATCCAGTGGTAACTCGTAGTTCATGATGATTGTCCCTGATTAACTGATTTAAGTGATGAAAAAAAAAAAAAAAAAAAAAAATTATGATGTTTTGCATATCTCTTGTTCATATATACAGTTTGCGATTTTCCATTTATTTAGAAGATGTTCCCGGGTCCAGGGGGGGTTTCATCTGATTGTGTGTGTCATTCCCTTTCGAGGTGCGTACCTCTCCCAATAAAATGGCTGATTCGGGGGGTTACGTATGACCACATGTCCATGTCAAAAGTGGTGATAAACAAATTTACTTATTCTGCCTCATGTGCAAAGCAAAATTGGCAAAAAAAAGAAGAAAAAAAAACAGAATTACCCCTTTTGCAGTGCACTAAAGGACAGATTTTTACATTTCTTCTCCCCATCACCCCCAATTTTTAAAAAGAGAAAAAGCGGAAACACAACTGTCACCCTTTTTCCTGACGAGCAAAATGAAATTACACGACTTTTTAGTGTTTCTGTCCCTCAATATAATTACCATTTGGCGAAAACTGTGCAATTACGTATGTACACACAAGTATATATGTACGTGTGCGCACAATATTCATTTATTGAGAAAGGTGGACATAACGGCGAGTCGTGTCCTGTGATTAATACATTCACATTTCCCCTTCGAGGAACTGAGGTGTCACCTGCACGGCGCCTTGCCTTCGTGGCATTATTTTATGTCATATGGCCAACTGCCCTCCACCCTGATAGATGCATTTGTCCACCTTTTTAGATAGTTTTTTGTCCCCTGTTTTTCACGAGTTCATGTTACGTTATCAATTTTAGTAGACACTGAAGGGGGGCACACAGGCCTGTAGGTACATATATGTATGTACGTACGTACGTGTGTCCCTTTTCGCAATTCTTTTCATGCTAGATTTTTCCCGTAGGCAATACTAGTCGAAGGCGCATTTTTACGTCACAGCGCCGCAGTTGCTCCAGTGTAGTTTATTCCTTCTCGCGATTGGTGAGCTCTTTTTTTACGTGGTTGTTTCGTCATGCGGCGTGAAGCGACTTGCATGCAGATTATTTCTAAGCACAGGGTTACGCATGGGGATATGGATGCACGTATTAGTGTACACATTAATGTACATGTTACTTGTGTATGATTTTTTTTTTTTCTTTACCATGATAGATTTTTAAGCGTTCATTAGCAGACCCTTTTTCATTTGCACATTTGTCACTGCTTTTTTCTTCTTCTAAACATTGTTATTAAATTTGATTTACATTTTAAGTCACCCAATCAGTATATCCTTTTTTTTTTTTTTTTACACCTCAAATTAACACAACTTTGTCAATATAATTTTAAGATTTAACTAAATTATAGCAAAAGAATGATAAGATGATTTTTCTTTTTATTTTTTTTTATTTGGGAAACTTTAACAGATAAGTGAAGCATAATAATGTTAATATTCCTAGCTGAAAGGCACATACACGCTTGTATGTGCAGAATGGTACCCACGTTTATCAGGTTTAGTATGCTTTTAATGAGATGATCTAAGGCAGCAGTGCGTTAAGCCTTACACGCCTGGTAAGTACCTGCCATTTTGTAAATCACATTTTGAGTTACCTCCGCATAGGTGAAGGGGAAAAAAGTACAACACTGTTAGACAGTCTTGTGTTGAGCGGCTTTACGTGGTTGTAAGCTCACTCAAAGGGTAAATCAACTCGGTTTTGCAAAATGGGCAACCGTTTGAAGGACTAAGTGATGTGCACACCTGTGTGTGGCCATAAGGGAAAGGAAAAAAAAAAAAGAAAAAAGAAAGAAATTCCCCCCTTTTTTCCTCTTTTTTGTACGTAATATATGCTAGCAATTGTCCAGCACATGCAATAGGACGCGTTGAAAGGAAGGTTTATCCACATTGGCGTACCTAACTGATGATTGCTACATGACACTACATCGATTACTCTGTGTTAGGAACAAACCACATGGTTGATTCTCCCCCCGGGTTAGGTAACACACATGTGGCTGAATTTACTCGAGGCATACGTGGAGCAAGTTTGGCACTTTGTGCAGGCCCCGAGGCGCGGCGTCGTGAGGGTGCCTCAAAAAAATGACCCACTCGAAGGGGAAAAAAGGGACAGCCAATAAGGCGATTCCAAACGGGCGAGCCCACCCCACCATCGCGCCACACCCCAAACACACTCATGAAGACCATATCCGTCGGGTTCACCATTTTCGAGGCGCAGAACCTGGAGGTGGAGGACAAAGCGTTACTGGATCCGCTGGTAATTGTGCGCTGCTGCAACGAGGAGTACATCACGAAAAAGAAGAAAAATAAATACAACGCAATTAACTGGGAGGAGAGCTACATATGGGATCGACTCACCCTGTCAGAAATCGAGTGGAATGTAGCAAAAATCGAATTTGAAGTCCAAAGCGCGAATAACTTTTGGAGGAATGACGTAATAGGAGTCATTTCATTTGAACTCAAGTTGATTAAGAATAAAAAAAATCACCAGATATATGGGACCTACCCAATACTGTATAAAAATGGGACAGAAATCAGGGGGCAACTGAGGCTAAAGGTAATTGTCTGTGACGAGAAGGACTACGTGACCAATAGTGACATATTTAACGAGCTGAGCGAAAGGAATGAAAAGCCTACATTGTATGGTGGTGCATCTGGCTACTACGGAACTGGCTACGAAGATGAAGAGGACAAGGAGATTTACACAGATTTGACCAAAGCAGTGGTGGAGGAAAATCAGATCACGGTCAGAGACACACATTGTAGGAATTACTACCTATATGTTAATATACACAAAATAGAGGATATATACATAGATATAGATAGAAAGAAATTTAGAGACCTATACGTTACATGCGAGTTTAATGGATGCCACCTGAAGTCAAGTCAAGGAAGGAACTGTGTGAATTATACCTTCAATGAATGCTTTAAGATTCCTATCGCTACTCCAATTTTGGAGGATTCTATCATTATTAAAATATGGGATTGGAATTTCCTATCAAATGATGAGTTGCTAGCTATAGGAGTTTTATCCTTTAACCAGGTAAAGAACCAGTCCTTAAATCCGACGTGGATAAATCTGTATGGCTTTCATAAGAAGGAGATGGATTTTGAAAAGTATACTGATCAGTTGGTCAATTCTGATTTTACTCTGTCCATGGAGGGGAACTTTTATCTTGGTAGGATTTGTATAAGCTCCTATGTCGAGAGGATAAACAATTTTGAGAATATGAATATTGCCATGACTCAAAGTTGCTTAGCTTTTGACGACCCTTTGTACATTCCCGTCACTTTGTTATGCGATGTGTATTTTGTGACCGGGGTTCTCGCCCATAACATTTATGTGCAGGTGTCTTGCGGCCCCTTTAGGAAGCGGACTGACTATGTGCGCGCCAACGAGGGAGACACGCTCCTAAGGGGAAATCGAAACGTGAAGAAAGCGCATCAGCTCATAGCAAATGGGGACAACCACCATCGTGGAAGTAACAGAGGGGAGGCCAACTTTTCCCACCTGTTCAACTTTGATGACTTGCTAAACATGGACAACTTCTTCTCCAAAGTGACTGAAAAGCAGAAAATCATCGAGGGGGGAGAAAACACCGAGTTTTATTTCTCTCCCAGGAAGGGAAAGATAAAGAACCTCAAATTTTGCGTCGTACGCGATGAACAGCAGCAGTGGGACGTCATCATAAATGTATTCGAGCGGGGAGGGCACCAAGGGGACGCTGCCGATGAGGGAGATGGCGCGGATTTTCGCGATGGAAGCTCCGATAGCGGCGGTAGCGGCGGGCCTAGGGGACAATCCCGCCTGACAGACCACCAGAAGTACATCCTGAGCAAACGAAAAGTGCAAAGTGCAGGGCGGAACAGTAGGAGGCATAATCGGAGGAGGCACTCCTCGCGAGAGGGCACCTCCCAGGGTGTAGAAAAAAACGAGGCCTACAACACTGATAGGAGAATTGCATACTATAGACTCCCACTAAAGAACGTCCTCCTGTACAATGAAAAACTGTCAAGGTGTCCCATTTGGATCCCCTTAAAGAATATCCCCCAAAATATCCACGGAGAAAACAACTGCATGTATAACATATTTCAAAATGGGTCCATATTACTCAACTTAGAAAAGGCTTATGACGTCCAGTTAGGAATAAATAGAAGAAAAAATCTCATCCCAGTTAACTATGAGTTGAGATGCTACATATACGCATGTCGAAATGTGGTGTCTCATTTTAATGACTCCCCTAACACCTTTGTCCATGTCTCCTGCTCAGGGAAAATGAAAATAACTTCTCTTGTGTTGAGCAATTCGAACCCTGTCTTTTTACAATGCTTAAAAATGAACGTGAAAATTTTAACAGACTATTCTGTAGGGTTGCCTACCATTCCCCTCATCGTAGTGACTTTGTATGAATTTTACAATAACACCTTTTACTTCATTGGGAGGTGCTTCTGCAATTACGACATCTACCTTGGTAAAAATCAAATGAAGTGTAATTTCGGAGATAGAGGCTCTAAATATAACGTAGTAGACCAGGTGAAGCCTAGATGGATTAAACTCAAAGGGAGTAAACATGTCCGGGCTATGTATCCAAATAATTTGTGGCAACA